TGTAGATGATATTGGTGTACTGTTTGACATCACATCTGCTGCAGATGATATTGGTGTACTGTTTGACATCACATCTGCTGCAGATGATATTGGTGTACTGTTTGACATCACAACTGTTACAGATGATATTGGTGTACTACTTGACATCACATCCACTACAGTTGATATTGGTGTATTACATGACATCACATCTGCTACAGTTGACATTGGTGTATTGTTTGACATCACATCTGCTGCAGATGATATTGGTGTACTGTTTGACATCACATCTGCTGCAGATGATATTGGTGTACTGTTTGACATCACAACTGTTACAGATGATATTGGTGTACTACTTGACATCACATCCACTACAGTTGATATTGGTGTACTGTTTGACATCACATCTGCTACATTTGATATTGGTTGACTACCTGTCATCACATCTGATATAGTAGATATTGGTTCACTACTTGACATCATATATGCTCCAGTTGATATTGGTGTACTGTTTGAGATCACATCCGCTACAGTTGACATCGGTGTATTATTTACCATCAAATCCGCTAAAGTTGATATTGGTGTACTACTTGACATTACACCTGCTACAGTTGACATTGGTGTATTGCTTGACATCCCATTTGGTACAGTGGATATTGGTGTGCTGTTTGACATCACATCTGCTACAGTTGATATTGGTGCATTGTTTGACATCACATCTGCTTCAGTTGATATTGGTTTACTGTTTGACATCACATCTGCTACAGATGATACTGGTGTACTGCTTGACATCACATCAGCTGCAGATGATATTAGTGAAGTATTTGACATCACACCTGCTGCAGATGATATTGGTGTACTATTTGACATCACACCTGCTTCAGTTGACATTTGTGTATAACGTGACTTCACACCTGCTACAGTTGATATTGTTGTATTACGTGACTTCACACCTGCTACAGTTGACATTTGTGTATTACGCGACTTCATACCTGCTATAGTTGATATTGTTGTATCACGTGACTTCACACCTGCTACAGTTGACATTTGTGTATAACGTGACTTCACACCTGCTACAGTTGATATTGTTGTATTACGTGACTTCACACCTGCTACAGTTGACATTGGTGTTTTACATGACTTTACATCTGCTACAGTTGGTGTTGGTGTAATGTTTGACATAACATCTAATTCAGTTGATATTGGTCCACTATTTAACATCATATTTTTTGAGATCAGATCATTTTTGCTTGACAAACTCAAAATTGTTGTCGCTGATTGACGATCTTTCTTCAATACGGATGAAGCTTCACTATTATCTGACATCATACTTGCTACTTCTCCCGTTGAATCTGAAGGGAGTGCTGGTACTTGGCAACCCAATACCTCCACATTTGCAGAAATTACATTTTGTTGAGGCTTCTCTTCAGTTAATTTTGCATTACTTCTGGGTAAAGAGCTGCTGTTGGCTGTTGTTACCATCTTTACAGTTATATTGGATGATTTGCACACTGACGTATAAGTGCCTTTCTCAGGAGTTTTTCTTGATACTTGTGATTCTTTTGATTTCCTTAAGTATGTTATTTTTGGCATCTGGGGTGGAGTACTCCATCTTGGTTTTGCTTTTTGCATAGACAATGCACTCACAGATTCTGAACATAAAGAAGGCATATTTGATGAATGCACTGTTGAAGTTGTTACCAATGATCCTACTGTAATCACTGGAACCAATGGTTGTACTAGTGAACCTGATGTTAAGGGTGATACTAATGACCCTGTTGTAATTGTACTAGTCGAGGATTGCTCCAATTGTTTTGTTGAGCATGGCCCCAATGTTGAGGGTGGTACTAATGATCCTGCTGAAGGTGGAACTAATGAACTATTTGTTGAGGATTGTAATGGTGGTCTATGTAATGGTGCCACTAAAGAATTGTCACTCTGTGAGCTCATTGGAGGGGCAAATATGGTTTCTTCCCTAATATCTTTTGTATGCTCTTTCTCACGAAGCTTATTTTCTAGTGCCTTAACTTGTTGCTGTAGGTTTGTAATGACATCATGAAGCCCTTTAACTTGGGTCTGTGCTTCTGATTGGACTGGTGTCTGGAATGTATTTGGCATCCTTACAATAGGGTCATCTGGTGTGTTAGGCATAGGGGCACCTGGGATATGAGACCTTGGAGGTAGACTATGAAACATTTCTGGAGACTGATACCTAGGAATGTTTCCAAAAAATGGTCCACCAGACAAATGAGCCCCATTACCCATCCCATAATTGGAAGGATGTCCACTTGCATTATGTGCAGCATGTGGCATGTATGGCATCCCCGAATGTATATGTCTTGACATAGGATCTGCAATATAAGGATACATGGGCCTTGGGCATGGTGTGTTGTACATCCTCTGTCCTCCATATCCCATGTTATGTAATGGATACCAAGGGGGCAGAGTTGGACTATATGGTGAAATACCAGAGTAAGTGTTCTGCATATAATGCCAAGTATGTTGCTCTGACATGGCTGGTTGCTGAGTATGGCGTTCTGATGTGGCAGTCTGTGAAATACGTGGAGCAACAAAGTTTGCATACATCTGATTAGTAGCACTTGTTACATTAATACTGGAATTTCTAACGCCAGTGCTCACAGCACCTGTGTTAGTTACATTAGGAGCTGTGCTGAGAGAGGTAGGCAAAGTTTGCGAGATTATATCAGTTAAACCTCCCTTCTTGCCTTTTATGGCTGATTGCATAGGGGCAACTTTAAGTATATTCGAAGCTGTTGTTATAAATGGTATCTGGGATTCAACTGTCTCCGATATGTCAACTTTACTTTTCCTTTCTTGGGTTGTATTGCCCATTGTTACTTTAAGCGAGTCAATATTGGGGACAACCTCATTTTCTGTCGCAACTTTTCCAAAACACAATGGTCTTTCAATGATTTCATCTTTAATGTGAATCGGAACAATTCCTCCATTTTTCAGAAGTGGATCTTTTGCAGGTTCTTCTTTGATCGCTGGATAAAGCTTGTCTTGGCTGCAAGATTCTGCAAGCATCACTTTTTCATTTAGTTTATTGTCTTGTTTTATCTCAATGCAAGCCTCCTTTTTGCTTGTACATTCTTTTGTAGCATGCTCTTCCACAGTAATTGGATCATACACGCTATAGTCATTGCTAATAAGTGAAGTTTGAGATTTCTTCTCTGTGTCTATGATAGACTGACAAGGTTTTGATTTCTGATCTATGATTTTAGATTTTTTGATTTTTCCATTATTGCTCTTGGAAGAGTATGAATGTTTACGCTTCTTGTGTGTGATATCAACTTCACATAGAATACCAGCTTTAGCTAGGTCACTTCCTCCCATGAGTTGACTAGGAATAACAGAAGCTTGTTCAAGTCTTGGAATGTTGTTGGATTTTGTTATTGCATCACCAGTCTCCTCCATATTTGGTATGGCAGTATTAGGATTACTATTTTCAGAGGCTTCATTTTTAATGCCATTATACAACTTGTTTGATTGGCCCTCTGGAAGAATGATGATCAGATCAGGATCAGTCTCCTTTATATCCTTCTCTCTCTTTGTCTTGTTATTTGTATCCTTCTCAATGTTTTTATTTTTGGAATCACTTTCCAACTGTTCGGATTTGTCCCTATGATCTACATATGGAACAGATTTGTCATTGGCATGTTTGTTGAGAATTTCATCAAGTTCATTATCTCCAGACTGAACAGAAGTGGCTTTTTTATTAAGTTTCTTGAGATTCTCATCTTCATTATTTTCATTGAGATCAATTAGATGTTGAAGCATATCAATATTGTTTGCAGTATCATCTAAAGTTAAGCAACTGTTATCAACTTTGTCACTATTCTCCTTAGATTTAAATGAAGCTAGGGCTGTTCTGGTGGTTGGTTTGTTCTCAGTGGCAACAGGTGGGACAGCCTTTGTGTCTGATTCACTGTCACTTGATTGGAACTGATAAATCTCATATGGATTGATTTTATCACCAAAACTTTTCTTGGAGCTTGGACTTCTACCAAATAACAAAATTGGTGACTTTGGTTTTGAAACTGTTGTGTTTCTACGTGGGCGACCCCTTTTTGGTTTAGATATAAGGTTTTTATCTGTATTCCTTAAAGGATAGTCCTTCTGATGATGTGATAGTCCTTTACCTTTGGCAGGTTCCACACTCAGGGATCTAAGTAGTTTCTTCCTAGGTTTAGCTCCACGTTTTTTCTCTGGGTTCTTTTTGGTATTTTTCTCATCTTCTTCTTTGCAGTTTTTAACATCATTTGTTTTCTTCTCCGCTTCATATTTTATGTTTTCAACATCCTTTGTGTTCTTCTCCTCTTCTTTGATGTTTTCCATAATCTTTGTTTTCTTCTTCACTTTGTCTTTTATGTTATCAACATCCTTTGTGTTCTTCTCCTCTTCTTTGATGTTTTCCATAATCTTTGTTTTCTTCTTCACTTTGTCTTTTATGTTTTCAACATCCTTTGTGTTCTTCTCCTCTTCTTTGATGTTTTCCATAATCTTTGTTTTCTTCTTCACTTTGTCTTTTATGTTATCAACATCCTTTGTGTTCTCCTCTTCTTTGATGTTTTCAATAATCTTTGTTTTCTTCTCCACTTCATCTTTTATGTTTTCAACATTCTTTGTGTCCTTCTCTTCTTTGATGTTTTCAATAATCTTTGTTTTCTTCTTTACTTTGTCTCTGCTGCTTTCAACGTTCTTAGTTTTCTTCCCGACTTCATCTTTGCAGTTTTCATAATTTTTTGTTTTCTCCACTTCTTCTTTGATGTTTTCAATAATCTTCGTTTTCTTCTTCACTTTGTCTTTGGTGCTTGCAATGTTCTTAGTTTTCTTCTCAACTTCATCTTCGCGGTTTTGATCATTTTTTGTTTTGTTCTCCACTTCTATGATGTTTCCAATTTTCTTCGTTTTCTTCTTCACTTCGTCTTTGATGTTTTCAGCAATGGAGACAGATTTAGCATTTTCGATACAGTCTAAATCTTTAATACACACAATAGGTTGCATATCTATATCAGTAGCTGCTTTACTATTGCATACTATTTCTTGAGATTCACTTGAGCACACCTGGGTCACTATAAATTCAGGTTTAATTGCATTTCCCGTTACCTTGGCATTGTCTTTAAGAGTTGTACTGGAATGAGCCTTAAGACAATCTAAATCATGTTCTAATTCTTTCTTCCTTGGTGGGGTGAAGATTGTTTTCAACTGTTGAAGTTTAAGTTTCAATTTCTCATTGTCCTGTTTGGGAGATTCAATCAAGGAAATTCCAATTTTAGTTTCCTTTTTTGGAGATGATGTTATCTTAGACTGTGATCTACTACGATGTTTTACTTTTTTATGTTGATTGGAAATTTCTTTGTCTGACTTAGTTTCACTTTGAGATTCCTTTCTAGCTTCATTTTGAGACTCTTTGAATAAAGTTGTCCCTTTTGAAGACTGAATATGTATATTGCATAGTTTTTGATTGTCGATCTTCGCGACTTTGAGCTTATCTGTTTCTATTGCACTGTTTGGTACTTTACTTCTAGCATCATCTGGAATGCCAGGCCTCACATTGATAGGTGTGGGGTTTACATTTTGTATTTGAGGGTTTTTTCTTTGAGCAAGAATAACTTCATATGGGGTTTCATAAAGTGTATCATTGGCTGAGGTCTTGGTATCATCTACCTGAGGATGTAGATCTTCACCGATTTTCCAAGGTTTTTCAGCTTCATCACAGAAATCCTGTAGATCTGCCACATCTTTGCCTCTTGAGGTGGATTTTGAATTTGCTACAGAGGATTTGGTGGGCGAGAGACTGGTTTCTCTCGACGATATACCATGGGAACCATGCTGACTGGACCCACTAGATTTCTCAGAGGATTTTGAATCAGATGATCGTTGACGTTCTAAGCTTGGAACTTTAAGCTTCTCTGGACTGGAAAATAAAAGAATTTGACATGCATATCTAGCATCCATGTATGACTTAATAGTTGATTATTACTACTTTGTTTCTATCAATAGCACATGGTCCACTTGAAAACATGGCAAAGTAAATGAATAGAGGGGGCTCATCTTGAGACATTTCTAAAAGATTGTAATACATACTCTGTATCGTTAAATTAAAATATTAATATTTAACAAAAGAAATAATAGTATAGAAAATCAGATATATACATACTCCTCTTTCTGTGGAGCCTCTCTGACCCAGTTAAAGACACCAAACAGGGAAGTATGATGGTTGTTTTCCACACCTTGAAATAATAAAATAATAAGAGTAACTAGATTTTGGAAATTGAACGAAGTTCAATTTCAGACTCCAGATCTAGACTTTTTTTAGCCGAGTCATCCAGAATAAGCCGAGTCATCCAGAATAAGCTGAGTCATCTAGAAAGAGATGGATAAATAAAATAGGAAGGTAGGATAGGATAGAATAGGAAAGAACGATAGGATAGAATAAGAAAGAAGGATAGGATAGAATAGAATAGGAAGAAAGGATAGGATAGGATAGGATAGGAAGGTTAGGAAGGAAAAGATATGAAGGAAGGATAGATAGGAAGGATAGGGTAGGATGAGATAGGAAGGATGGATGAATTTTTCAATATTTTCTTCTCTACTCTTGACTTTCTATCAGGATACCATCAGATCGATTTTTCTCGAAATTTCAAAACGCTATCACTTCCGAACCGGAAGTCGGATCGAAATTTGGTTTGCAGATTCGGATTCCTGACAAAATTCTACCCCTAATTCATAACTCATACGTTAAATTTGGAGATTTTTTATTTTGACCTACTTTTCGGACACGCCATAACTTCCGAACTGGAAGTCGGATCGAAATTTGGTTTGCAGATTCGGATTCCTGAGAAAATACTATACTTAATTCATAACTCAAACGTCAAATTTGGAGAACTTTTTATTTTGACCTACTTTTCGGACACCATATCTCAAAAGTGGGTCAAAATACTTTCTGACGGCAAAAGGCTAACACTATTAGCATATTCTTGGCAACATGTATACACAATTTCGAAGAATATAATTAAAGTGTAGTGTCAGAATCGAAAAAATAAGGAAAACCTATGAATTTGACCTAGATTTTGACCTAGGCATTTCGGTGTCCAAATTGTGAAGCTAGATGGCTTTTGAGGTCCCCTTCTTTTAAAGGCTTTGATTATATGAAGCTGAACTCAGTCTATATTCCGAAATTTTCACTTCAAAAAAATATTTTTTCCCATTGACTTAACATGGGCACCAAATTTAGCGATTTTTGAGTTTTCAAAACGCCATAACTTCCGAACTGGAAGTCAGATCCAAATTTCGTTTTCAGATTCGGAATCCTGAGAAAATTTTCTATAAGACTAATATCCTGGACATTTGATTCGGAGAACTTTTTTTTGGACCTCGTTTTCGGACACTGATATCTCGAAATCGGTTTGAGATATCAAAAAACTAAATCGACCCTAGGTTTCCTACTTTTTTATAAAGAACACAATGAAAAAAACCGGGATCAAAAATATTGAAGGACGACCGAGAAAATCGAAAAAAGTGACAAAGTACTGGATTTGACCTAGTTCTTGACCTTTGACCTAGATAAAAATTTGACCCAATTTCCGAGGAACTAGATACTGGACATAAATTGACTAAATAATGATCTTTATTGGAAACCTAATGGTTATCGAGAAAACTGGGAAAGAATAATAAGAAAGAATAATAAAGAATAATAATAAGAATACTGACAAAAGCAATAGACTCCAGATTGACATCTGGAGTCTAATAAGAGCCTTATTTAGGTGCTTATTAGGGAGTGGGCGGCAAATAGGGCAAATTAAGTTATGTTGTTGCAATATTAATGCAACTCTGGTAACACAATCATTCTGAAAGGTCCCACCGAGCACAGAATAGAAAAATCAGATATCAAATCTAATAACTCTTTAACTTGATATCAAAATGAGAGAACAATCTGGTACTTCTTATTTTGAATTCAACTTTTTTGGTGTACTTAAGGATCAGAGGTAGAAGTATACAATGATAAAAGGTTATATGTATAAAGGGCATTGTACTCACCGAATTCCTCTTGTAGGGTTTTACCAGACAGCAAACACAGCAAAAATTCCTCTCTGTGGACTTTGGCTACCCCCACCTAAATATAATACGAGAGAAAATACAAAAATTGTATCAGCTTTCAACAACTCTTAACAAAGATGTTCCCATAAGTCATTTGATATTGTGGGCAAAATAATGAAGGCATAAATTGATGAACAGATGTCAATTAATAAGAAATTATGGGATATCAAATGGAGACACAGACACAGCACAACACAGTGACCATTTGACACCTTGAACCAACCAAACCAACCGCCGCACACCATCCATATAAAAAGTTACAGACTATGACAATAATCTATGGTGACATAAAATTGCTCATGTATTTTACTCACAGATTTGCTTTGATCCAGGAGGGTGGCAAATTGTTTTATTCTTTTCTTGTACTTGTCTTCATCAGCCCTGAGAAACACCAGTTGAGCATCTTTCTTTGAGCCTATAATCAAACACTCAATACATCAACTTATACTACAATTCATATCTTCTAACTCAATAACTCTGGAGGGTAGATTCACACATGCAATTCTATTTTTCAAATGTTGCCCTTTGTGCATTGTCAGTGATAATATTGTACATAACGTAAATACAATAATTGCTATGACAACCGATGCTTCCTCTGCTTTGTTAGGTTAATGCCGCATTAAGTAATGTTGAATGGTATATTATTGATTCAGCATGCGTGATGATTCATAAAGGGAGTGTTATTATCATTATATGACACAGCTGCCTCATCAGAACAAACACTGGCACTGTCAATTCTCCTGTCTCCTAATACAAGGATGTATCTATGGGTACAAAGGGTATGATACACGACTCCCAGATCATAAATTATAACCCTTTGCTTTAGAACATTTTTTATGATTTATTCACAAAGGTCGATTTATTTGAATTTTATTTGGAGAAACTCTATGAAGAAGAGGAATACTGCTATTACCATCTTGTTTCCATAGCAACTTGAGTTGTTTCGCTTTGTCTCCTAGCAACAGTTTGAATTGTTCCAATGGAGTTTTACTGTCAACAGCAAGTTTCTTCTCACTATAACAAGTCAAATTACAATTAGGTAAAATGGATGAAATAAGTTAGTAAATACTTTCAAATAGCTTTTTTATCTGATTTGCATGTCAATTGGATGCATCAATTATTTTGAAAAGAGATATATCCTACATAAAGAATCACAATCATTTCAAATATTGGGCAAATCTGTTAAGCGATGCTCAAGTAAAAACAACTTATTCAAATGTGAGACAATTTTGATATGAGGCACTTTTAAGATAAAAAACTGACACTGCCAAAAATGTGAAATTTCAAGTTTTTAAGTAAGAGAAATTTGAGCCTATGAAATTTGAGCTAAATCTGACTAACAGTATATCTAAGTTGTCATTCTAAAATAAATGTGATTATCTACAGAATATAGTATGGTTGTTCAGTGAGATGGCTATGCATTCAAATGTAATATCAACATTATAACATCAATTCTTACTTATAAAAGAAACTTATCTAATTCATGTTCTTGCTGATACACAAAAGTTATGTACTAAACGATTGCTCATTATGATATACAGTGAAATCTGTTATGTGGAACACCTCTGTAAGTGGAACACTTCCCAAGACCAAATGACTTAATGTAAATGAGTGGAACACTTCCCACTTTTTAGAGGTACCAAAGGTGTTCCACACAGGTTTTACTGTATGTTTTAATGTGTACCAGCAGAGAAGCATATGAGAGCAACTGCCCTCCAAGTAGGAATTATTTCAAACAGTTAACAAGGGTAACATTAACATCATGTGGCTCATCATTGTTTTACCTGTCTGTACCATCAGGCCTAACACCAAACAACAATGTAAATGTATGCATGTTAAGACTTTAAGGGTGGGTATTGTATATTGAGTATCTCAATAAATAAATTATAATGTACATATTATGTTCTTTAAGTTCAATAATTGTGAGTAGAAATATCCCTACAAAATATTTGGATAAAAGCACCTCAATATGAAGTACTCACAAAGTAAACATATTTGAACGATTACTGATAGGTGATGTTAATATATAAAACTTCTAATTTAGTCAATGAGTTTCTTAACAAGGCTCTTAAATCGAGAAGTTTCAACAAGACTTTAAAATAATGATGTAAATCGTTCTGATGATACTTACAGAGGGAAAAAGAGTTTAGAGCCACATAGCATAGTAACATGGGCCAGGTGGTTGCCTTTATTGAAGATGTACCCATTGTACACTGAATGTGCTGTTTTCATCAAATCTGTGAGGTTAACGGGCTAAAAAATAAAACACATTCGTTCCTTAAGTGGATGGAAATATGTATTTTGTAAGAATAAATCTAGTTTTCCATTGTAATTTTACCTATTTTATCTATAAGATATTATTGAAGATTAAAGTAGACACTAATTATAACAAATTTCAGGCATGGAGTCAATCCTGAGATGCTCATATTTAAATTTTTCATGAAATGTGTATAAAATACAAATTATGCAAAATTGATTAAAGTCAGGAATAAAATTAGCAAAAACCTTGCAATGTGAATACTAAACAGCAAGTCAAAGTTCATATAAAGCTGTTGGGGTGAAATGTTTCCATGTCTCCATATCAAAATGACAGTGTTGATAGCTGATAGTGTATCCTGTATACAGGTTTCACTGTACCTGATTTATTTAACAGTATTACCTTTTCCTCCTCTTTGTGTTCCATGACTAGGGGTTCCAAGGTTGGGAAAATCTCTCTCACTTTGAGAACATTTACCTACAACAGAAAAGTGTCTTGGTAGATTACAAAGAGGCAATGAAGGTACTGTTCTTCCATCACTTCGGCTAAGAGATATATTGGGTATCATTTTTTTTTACAAGTGTACATTCTTTAATAAAAACAATAGAAAAAAATCCACTCCTCTTTGTTATAGCTGGACATTCTTGAAAATAAAATACAGTTCATTCTATTGTGTTGCTACCTAAGTGTGGTTTAACCTGTAATAAAGGCAGGACTGTTTGAAATTGACATGACATGAAATGGTGACACCGAAACATTTTGTAAAATTGTGACAATCTTTTTGACGCTTGCTCTTAATTCGTTTCTATCTTTACATTTGAATATTTACCTTGAACGATAATACTGCATATGGTAGAACTTGTCTTGGTCTCTTAGAGCATTTACCATGGCCATCCATGTCATATAGATACAGCTAAAAGTACACAGATACAGCTTATGTAAAATAATATATAGATACAGCTAGAATAATACTGCATATGGTAGAACTTGTCTAGGTCTCTTAGAGCATTTACCATGGCCATCCATGTCATATAGATACAGCTAAAAGTACATAGATACAGCTTATGTAAAATAATATATAGATACAGCTAGAATAATACTGCATATGGTAGAACTTGTCTAGGTCTCTTAGAGCATTTACCATGGCCATCCATGTCATATAGATACAGCTAAAAGTACACAGATACAGCTTATGTAAAATTATATATAGATACAGCTAGAATTATAGAGATGGCTCACATATTCAATAGAGGAGTCAATTAATAACTACAACAATGTAAATGTATATCTACAGATACTGATCAATTCAATTTTAATTTCAACTTGTTTATTAAAATAATATTATGGCTACAACTAAAATAATACAACTGTAGAGTTTAGAATGTCACAATGCTCTTAATGTCACATTAAATGTCACAATACTCTGACAAAATGAGACACACTCCAATATTGTTGAAAAGGATATGTTCACTTAAAATATGACATAGTTTTAATATGACATAGTTTTAATACATTTAATTGGTTTTGAGGCAATCAGCACTAACATGATAATCTCCTTGACAACAATTTCATTTTGTTAAAGTGCCAAGAGAAAACAAAACAAAGGGGAGAACATTTGGAGAAGGTTAACATATCAATCTATAACCACTTTTAAAATTAATTCAAACATGCCAAGTGTGTCTCTGCCTTGAATCACACTTAGAATTCATTAAATTAATTGTTAATACCATTTTTATATACCTACATGTAACATAATATAAGTGCTTTCTTTTATATGTAGTCTAGATGTCATTCTAAAAATTTCTGTTAAATTTCCGCAACATATACCCACTAGGGTGTCTAGCGGCTTGTTTTTATAGTGTATATTATATAAGAATTATGAAATAAATAAATTGAATTGAAATTGAAAAAAAATTGAAGAATTTCAGTGCATTTATTCAAGGTATATGGTCATCTGAAAAGAAACATTATTTTACGTTGCATTATGGTTTCATAAAGAACTGGACAATGTCGCTTTTTATAAAAGAGTGATGGAATATTTGAACTGCAATAAAGAACCTTGTATCATTCTTTTTGGATTTAAAAGCATTCATGCATGTACGTCCCCATCCTAATAATATATATTATATGTTTGGGCACATACACTTATACTTTGAAATTACCAATAAAGAATAATACAGTGTTCTTTATTTAAGAAATATAGACCGAAAAGCAGGGGTTATATCGTCGAATACAACCCGCAGGGCTAGGCACAAACGTTTTCTGTACCACGAACGACAGAAGGGAGTGATGGGTTCGAAAGCTTTTGTGCCTAGCCCCAAGGGGTGTATTCGACGATATTACCCCTGATCTGAGGTCTATATTACGATTCGAACATGAAAACTCACCAAATTGTTTCGAATATTCATCATGGTCCGCCATTACTACGACCCATCGTTATGACGTCACACATTACACGTATTAACTGGGTTATTGATCTCGAATATAACCCAGCTGAAGCATTGACTTTGTTTACAGTTTATAGAAGGCGTGAATACAGTCATGTTCGAATCCTAATTAATTCTTTGTTCATTTCATCAATTGGTGGTAAAGGTTATTATGACATCATTTATAGAGATCTACATGCAAGTGAATGAAGATCCATTTTGATCAAAGCATACCCTGAAGAAACATGTTTTTTCTATTCCTTAAACAAATATCGAGGTGTCTTAAAAAAATGAAAATTTTGGTTTGCAAATCTTTACCCCGGAGCACTTTAATTGTATTCATTCCAAAAATGCATTCTAGATTGATAATTCTATTTGGAACTACCTTAATAAAAAGGTATGTTATTTACCTGAGAATTGGTCATGAGTCTGTCCAGAGAGGTGTCTGTCATTGGAATATTGGCTGATGAATGACAGTTGAAGCCTGGAGTCGGGGGCTGGAGGGCACTGTCTGGCCCAGATGTATCAAAGTTAGGAGCTACTTGCTTTATTCTGCCTTTTATGATCTACAAAAAACATTATTAACTTTTATTACCTAATATTTAATTTCTACTAAATTGTTGATGTACATGTCTTTTATGTAGCCTTATACAGAATGGGCCAACATTTCACGTAGGGGAAAAACTACCTTCAGGGTAAGACAAAGAACTGACAACTTTTCTGTACTTAAGCATGACATATACAGTACCTTGTAAATAAACATCTTGCCCTTTAAAATAAATTTGATGATTTTGCACGATACCTAATACATGATGACTGGCGTGCAATATGGCTTATACATTATGATCTTGCACTATACTTTGAAAACTATATCCTGCTCATGATTATCTCACACTATACCTTGGACATGTTGTTGTTTCACTATAACTTATACATTATGGTCTGGCACTACACTTTACACACTGTAGTCTGCACAAGATGATCTTGCACTCTACCTTTACATGAACTTGCATACCTTGTACATGATAATCTTGCACCTTTACATGAACTTGCATACCTTGTACATGATGATTCTGCACTCTACCTTTACATGAACTTGCATACCTTGTACATGATGATTCTGCACTCTACCTTTACATGAATTTGCATACCTTGTACATGATGATCTTGCACTCTACCTTTACATGAACTTGCATACCTTGTACATGATGATCTTGCACCTTTACATGAACTTGCATACCTTGTACATGATGATTTTGCACTCTATCTTTACATGAACTTGCATACCTTGTACATGATGATCTTGCACTCTACCTTTACATGAACTTGCATACCTTGTACATGATGATTTTGCACTCTACCTTTACATGAACTTGCATACCTTGTACATGATGATCTTGCATAAAGGAGCACTGATCTTAGCCAGGCATAGATCAGCACTCATCCATAAATGCACCCCCTTAGTTGCATCCCCAAGTATGCTCCTCCGTGGGTTATCCTCCACCCTCAGGCCAGTATCACAAATTGCCTTTAACATGCTACGGTTACCTCTGTATGTAAACGCAAATGTTTCCCGGAGCTCTGTGTATTTCAAGCCAGATTTAGTCAAGCGATCTTTGATTTGTCGGAATTCTAAAATAAAAATATAATTGTGATCTAGGTTTTCTAATATTACCATTAATTGAAAAAGAAACAGTGTAAGACAAACTCATTTGGTATTGCAAAATAGTGTTTGACTTGCATAGAATTTAACCATGTTGAGAACGTAATTTCAAAATTGGAGGATTGCGTTTTTGGATCACCCTGTATACTTCCACTGATATTGATATAAATTAAGATATATTCTGAATGTGGGCTCCACAGTTTTTTTCGCATTCAAATGATACTGCACAGATTTCTAGGAGTGTTCAAATTTGACAATTTTGGCCCAAGATCATCTGAAGTACTCAAAATGGTGAAAAATAGGACCCACGGTCCTGTGCTCACACAGTTTGGAACCTTCAGAGGAATGTATATCCTGACTTTCAAACAAAAATATTGATTTGGATTTGTAGTCTCGAACTTTCAGAAACTTATAGACAGCACAGTTGTGACCTTCGACCTTGAAAATTTTACTTATTTAGAGCTCAGTATGATTAAGCTGACCAAAATTTACATCCAAAAATCAACTTTTTTGACATTTCAAAGGTCACTGAAGGTCAAGTAAAGGTGAAATCCTAAAACTAATGTAAGATTTGAACTCCTGGTAACTTGTAGATGATTTTCAAAAAAAAATTGGTCAAATTGAAAAATAACTTATTTTTACTGTTTTTTGACGTCAAATATCTCAAAAAACGGTAAAAATTTGATGCTGACATATATTGAGCAATATGTAGGGAATGCTTAAATCTAGTTATGATGTAATTCATTGCAAGAAATGATCAAGTATAAGGCAAACTTTGAGAAACTTGTCAATCACAAAACCTGCCATTGACTTTATACATAACCCTCTTTTTGTCAAATTTTATAGAGTAAACACCAAAAACAATAATTCCAAGAGCTTTGAAATCTTCAGAGGACATAAGTTGCATATACAGCAACTACTACAAGTTATTTGAAAGTTCTACTTCAACAAAGTGTCTAGTATTTACAGAAAATTTGACTTTTTGACGTCAAAATCAGCGATTTCTCGGAAACCGGGTGAACTTGGGAAATTGCGATGATAGGTCAAATAGGCATTATGGATTTGCATAAAATGACTGTATATACGACTCAATCCGAATAGCAGTTTTAATTTGTGTGGCCAATGTTGACGGACGGACGGACCAACGGACGGACCAATGGACGGACCAACGGACGGACGGACGCCTGGTCGATCCCATAGGCTCACTGTGTGAGCCAAAAACTGCAATATTTTGAAAGAATTTTTGGTTGGGAGTTTCGCTCAAACCGCTCAAACCTAAGGCTAAATTCCTGAATGTACAATCATTCATAACTTGGGAGATAAAAACCATGTACCAACAGCTGCAAGTTGGTCTACAAACACTTACCATGCTGTAGGGTTTCATTGGTAATTCGGTCAATCTTCAAGAATTCACATTCTATTCCGCAATTCCAGAAAGTTCTCGTCACAATATCTATTATTTTCTGCCCATCCTCTGATTTCCTGGAGATTGGTATTATCTGGCCTGAAATCAAATAATAGCCTGAATTAAATTATGTTTCATTTCAATCTTGCACGTACATGATAGATGTCACTAGAAAATATAGAGATGGGAAGTTAGCAATTTTGGTTTGTTTTTGCTTTTAAAAATGTATGTGTCTGTACCATGTATGTATGTGTGTGTGGGGTTAAACACCTTTCGTAAAATATTCAGAAAACATTTTAACAATTATATTTTCAGCAACTGCACTGATGGTGACCATTTACTTACCAACAGGTTTGGCCGATAATGCAGTCGCCATCTTGTTGATATATCTTCAATGTATTACTTGATGCTTCATAGTTACTTCGCATCTCCTGAAAATATAAACAGCAATTTATCATTAAAGCAATTAAGTAATGCAATTTCAATATCCATACATTCCCTGTAAACATCCATATTCAACTTTTCACTAAATATGAAGAAAATCGGTCATCTGAGTTACAGACAAATACACAGATGGATTGATTGATGGATGGATGCTTTACTATATCCCTGTCAAAATTCCTTCCTTATAGGATTATTAAGAAATACAAGAAAAAAACATTGGCATGATTTTTGAAAACTGACTCCAACATTTTAGAGTCTATAATAATGTCTCTACTGTTCATTGTATATAAGGAATAAAACAGTACTAAAAGTTTTGTGAATATAGACTAGAATAAGTATGTTTAATAATTATCTAAATGGCACTCTATTCGATTCATACATCATCATAAAAGTTGTTTCATTAATAATAGATATTGAGTTCAATATATACCACAATAACAGTACGAAACATGATATTGTTGCAGCTCCCAGCTATTTTACAACGAAAGCTCAGTACTAAATTTCTGTTCTATAACTCTTCATCAAACGTTCTTTATTCTTTATCATTCTTATTATTGACACCTTAGTCCTGTCTCAGAATTTGAAACTTAATATCTATCAAGCACATACCTAACATTTATCTACACAGCCTGGAGAATCTATGTTGCATTGGGTAGTTGACACATTAAGGAAGTTCCAGACTTTCAGAAAAATGATTAAAAAAATGGGGAAATGTCACAATTTCAACATAATTTAAAACATTTTAAATTTGAACTAATAATTGTATCCTACCTTATGTGTAAATGTCCATCCAAAAAATGAAAAATATTATCTATTTCATTGATAATTATAATTATGAAAATTATGTAATTATCCTCAAATACCAAAAGATTATTTCAGCAAATTAAGTCTTGACTAGAATTGTCCTGTCTCTTATAAAATTAACAAAGATAATCTAATCAAATCTATAGTATATAGTTTCAAAGCAAGCCTGAAAGGAAATTGTATCGTATCATAGTAAAAATGATAACCTGATATTTGAACAGCTTTTCTAGAACCTGCACTGAAACAATAATAATCACTGGTATATTATATTTGTAGTCTCAATGATTTGGCCAGAATAGAAGCAATAATCAAGTGCTATACATCTTTGAATATCATGCATGTTAGACATAATTAAAAATCTTTTTCAAGTCATATTGAAAAAAATCATGAAAAATTAGACATTTCTTTAAGTCAAAATAGGTAAATTAGAATATCCTGGGATTATTAATAATCAGTTTTTCTGTACAATTCCTATATCTCATATCATAATCATATCAAATCTAGTTTTTTCTATAAAATATATACAGAGAAAATGGCCTAAAATAATAGAATACTTCTCTTTTATGAACATATATAGAAACAATCTTAAAAATTTTGAAACTTCTTTAATTTGTATTAGCAAAGGGAAACTTTTAAATGTTTATTAGTTGAATGCAGAATTTCCCCAAAAATTTGTGTTTTTTTTCAATGAAAAACAAACAAGGAAGGGAGATAAAAACATACAAATGTATTATACTGTTATATACAGCACATGAGATGAGTATGTTAACCAAATAAATTATAAAATTGAAAGTAATATTTGGCAAACACTATTTGTTAGTTATGCCTGGAAAGTTATGTTATTATCATCATTTTATCAAACTGTTGGTTGGTAGCTAGGGAAACTTAGGAATAGATTCATCAACTGAAGTAGTACCATATTATCCAAAGCTAAGTCTTAGCATCACAATAAACCATGACAACACAATTATTTTCAGCCATAAGATGCCGGTTTCTCATAAAACAGATTATGTAATTAGTATCAGAATGAGGTCCTTGGGACATTTATTATATAGCATGCTTGATACCTTGTCATCTTTCCAATACAAGTACCTCAACTCATAAGAGACTGAGAAGAAATGAGATGGCATGGTTTTTCATGATAGTGCTATTATGATAAGTGGATAGCCTATAATAATGTGTTTTTTTATTTTTACATGTATGATCAATCCTGTATCTTTTATAGTTACTTGTATATGACAGATTATTAGGAGGCCTGAGGCAGTATTAGGATCATTCAAAAAAAGATTTTTTCAAAAATTGAAAATTTATTTTTAATCATATACGAAGTCTGACCAAATCTGACCTTCGTTTTGACCTTTGGTTACCTTCAGTGACCTTTGAAAGGTCAAAAAGTTGATTTTTCAAACTGACTTTTTGAATTCAACTTACTCACAAAAGTCCTACTGTGGTATGAAAAATTAACATTTTCAATGTCAAAGGTCAAGGTCATCAAAGTAGGTCATTAACTGTGCTATCTAAGCCTCTCAAAGTTCAAGACTACAAATATTATTTTTGCTGAAAATCAAAATAAACCCGTCCAAAGGTTCTACAAATATTAGTATCAATCATCTATGAAAATTTTGCACCAATTTTGAGATATTGAGGGTCGAAAGGACTTTTTTAACTTTTTTAAATTGATTCCGTTTTTTAAATCTACAAATACTCATAAGTTCATATCTGACCTTGATTTGATTGACCATCAGTGACCTTCAAAAGGTTAAAAAGTTAATTTTTCAAATTGAACAAATCCTTTTTAAAACACCATCTTTAAGTTGCCAGGAGTTCCAATATGACCTTAGACTTAAGATTTGACCTTTGACTGACCTTCAAACTTTCAAACGCCAATGGGGGCCTCCATGAGATTGCTTGCAATTTTAATGTTTAGTTATAAGTTATTCAATAAATCTTGCTTGTATAGTATTCAAAGTTCAGTGTATACATACTGTCTGAATACACAAATATTATGCATATTAATATATCATTTTCTATTTGTAATCAATAATGAACTTCATTGAGCATACTTAGTATAATTGTATAATAAATACTCAGAAAAGCACACAATTTTTCTAGGTGTATATTAATGTGTAAACATTCATTTATATACATTATCATGCTTGCTAAATAAGCCTAAGTAACATACCTTGATTAAAATTATTCCAAATCTGATGTCTGACGATTTATGTGACAATGTAATAATCAAGTCTTCATCACAGCTGACGATAACATTAGCATAATCCTATTAGGTTTGTCTGTGTTTTGATTTTAACATCTAATAACAACAATACAATTTAGCTTGATCTTAAATCAAAAACCATTGTAGCAAATCAAAAAAAAATCAGTAACCATGATATACATTGACATATGTCCAAGATTTAAAATTCCGATTTAACAGAGTCCCTCATCATCTAATTCTCCAATGGACAGGCTATGGATCCCACAGTGCAATATGACACTTTTCCAATACTTTTTCCACGTGTAACTTTTTGATTGAACGACTGTGGTAACTAGCCGAATATTACATTCAACCATTACTACACTGTACAACCTGCACGAAGCAATGAAGTACAGTTAATGAACTCAATGGGCGATATGACAAAACCCAATATAAAAACAGTGTTAAAAGGTTAAAAAATGTTGAAATAAATATTATGATTTTTATCCTTTCTATTCATATACTGTAAGTTGTGTGACAAAAATGCTCTATGAATGAAAAATAGCCAAATGTATAAATCCGAAGCAATTGTAAGGCGTTTCCAAACAGAGTGAGTCTAACATATCAAAATAAAGAGGAAACGGATAATTTAGTTAAAAGCATTCATCTAAATATGTATAAATATACTTGTGAAAGAAGCTATACTTTGCACTGCATTATTTAAAATTATCAAAAAGGTTTATATGTTTCAACATGTACAGCCTCATAAAAATTAGCTTTAACCTAAGTGGCAGCAAAGAATCGAGAAGATAAAATGTAAAATTAGCTTTAACCTAAAGTGGCAGCAAAAATTGTGATGATAAAATGTAAAATTAGCTTTAACCTAAAGTGGCAGCAAAGAATTGAGATGATAAAATATTCCATGTTTCCCTTATACAATAAATCTTTATTTCATCATCTGAAAAGTATTGGAATGTCTCATAAAATATGAAAGATTTAAAGTGCAGAAATATCTAAAATCTACTTTTGAACTATTAAAAGTGATTGTATTATATTACCATGAAAAAATCAGAACTTGTTGGACTTTTTAGAAAATAGACGCATTGTGATTTTAAAAGGGATTCACTCTATCTTAAGCTGCTACCAAAAGTAATTACAACTTATTTAGATGTTCCCATAGGAAAAATATAAAATATTACACAAGCGAGGTCAAGTGATATCTGAGGCCCAGGAATACGTTAAAAATATTTAAAATGTCCCCTAGTGTGCTGAGTTGGTAATGCGCTGTGTATACATGTATATTAATAGAGAGGTAGTTCACTTCGATAGTGTTCTACACGAGATAATCCAGGGGTCACTATGTTCATATCAGTGTATCTAGGTACATACAGCATATATTTCTTTAACATTACAGGAAACCCTCGTCAACATATAAAACTTAATAATTAAACAAATAAATAAGAACAGTTTATCACAACAACCGACGTATAAGGTAAATTGTTACAAAAACAAAAAACAACCGAAGTTTGCCAGGACACTTTGGATGATTACTTAAGAGATGAAGGCCGAACTGCATTTTGATTGGTTGTTCATTTTGGATTTGAAAGTTCCATTTAAGGTATTTTTAGTTGTAAAAAAATTCTGAAATGATATGTTTA